ATAACAGGACAATTAGCAAATATTTCAACAACTTTAGGAGCATAGGGAATAGCGCAGGTCATAAAGACTTTTGATGGGGAACCTACAAAATTTAAGGAATGGCTGCTAAGTATAGTAAAATATGCGGTATTGACAAATGCAGATCAAGAAAGAATAAAACTGGTGGCCTATCAGTCAAGTTCAGGGGCAGTTAGCGATTTTATCCATAGGTATCTACAAGACCATGATCAAGCAACAAGGCAGATTGTAACCTTGGCAATAGTCGTAGGTGCTCAAGGTATCGCTAATTGATTCCGTTCATTTGAAGGAGATCCAGCCATGTGTTAAGCGTTGGTAAATGCTTAAAGTATATTCCGGATTATAAGGGAAGTTTTTGGCAGCATATAAGAAACTGAAAGTCGATTTTGTTAAATAGGCTAAACAAATTATAGGGATGAGGGAAACCTTAAAACGGGAGAACAAGGTTCATATCAAGAACAGAATAGGGAAACTGTGAACACAACAGGAAATTCATGAATGCTAAGACATACACGTGGCCCATGTCCGGTCAAAAGTATGCTGATATAGTTAGGGATTGTAAAAACATAAAGGATCCAGTTATGAGGATCAGTTCTTGATCGCGGATTTCGTCAAGGGTGTACTGACATGATAACGGTGATGATCAGTATTTGGTCGCGGGTAGCGACAAGCGTATTCTGATATGCTTAAAGAGATTGCCCAAACAGTCAGAACTTATGGGACGAACTATGGGGCACACAGGGGAACACATAACAGAGGTTTAAACACTGAACACCCCTTCTCATGATGACACTGATTGGAAGGAGGAGGAGGAGACAACATTCCGTTAAGCTGGTAGCCCGAGCAGTGGTAGCTGGTACAGTTAAGATAGGAAAGCAAGTCATCCGAAACTTACAGAAAGCATGACAAACAAGTAGAGTCCCATGGTTTAGTTGTGGAAAGTGAAGTTGCGGATAGCGACAGGTTCAGTTGTGGAAAGTGAAGTTGCGGATAGCGACAGATTCAGTTGTGGAAAGTGAAGTTGCGGATAGCGACAGGTTCAGTTGTGGAAAGTGAAGTTGCGGATAGCAACAAGGAGACATGTGGATAGAATCCACTGAACTGAAACGAACTAGGGCCTCTACTGAAAAAGCACATTCCAACAAAAGTAAAAAGGTGAAACAGTTGCTCCAGGCAATGGCTGGTTTATTATAGTTTTATATGGTTTGGGAGTAGAACCAGTGTATATGATCAATTACTCTTATGTTTCAGAGAGAATATGTTTCCTCTGGGGCTAGCACAGGGTTCGATTATGTACGAAAACATTGTATTTCAAAAACTGAATGATATTACCACGACAAGGTCTAAATGGCTAGTAACCTTCGTTATTGACTTAGACCCATATAGTCAGTTTATTGGGAAGTGTAGGTATAATATTGAGCAAGTCGCAATGATGGTTAGACAGTTCTTAAGCCGCTACCACTCCGATAAATCAACAGGCATCTTAAGCATGTATATCAAATTAGACGAAGAAATTACAAGATTGAATACAACTTTAAATAGCCTCGCAGACAATTTGTTAGAATACGGTAGGTTGCGCACACGACCCAAGCGTTCGCTATTGCCGTTTATCGGTAGTGCCTTGAGTTTCTTATTTGGCACTGTGTCTGACGCTGACCTAAGTTCTATTAAACAAAATGTACGAAGGCTTGCAGAGAATCAAGCAGGTATGGCACATGTCATTCAAGAAGGGCTCTCTATTATTAATACGACAAGAATTCAAGTATCGGAGAATCGACATGCCATTAATGAAGTCATTAACGATCTGGATATAGTGGGACAAGAAATTGCTAATGTTTCCAGTACATTGAGCAATCAAATAGCAAAGTTAGAATGGGCAACAAAGACCTATTTGCAAGTGGAATTAGTAATCGAAAATATTCGAAGCATGGTACAAACCTTTTTGTCATATTTAGAACACCTCCAGCTGCAAATGAATATGTTGGCTTTGGGTCATCTGTCACCCAGCACCATAACACCAAGTCAGTTGTTGGCTCTATTAAAGGACATAGAAACTCATCTCCCTATTAGATTCCGGTTAGCAAATAATCCGGTAGACAATTTATCGGGTTTCTATAAGTCTTTACTTTGTACCACCGTCCTATTTGATGATAAGATATTAGTAATCACGACGATTCCACTTTTAGATGTTAATGGTGAATACGGAATAGACCAGGCTCATAATTTGCCGGTACCACTAGTCATGAATCATATAAATACAGGATCAAACACCATAAATAATATGGTAGCAAAATATCGGTTAGAAACAGAGGTAATCGCGGTCAATGCACAACGTACGAAATATGCATTGCTGAAACCCTCAGAAGTTCAGATATGTACAAAACCCCTTTCGGGCTATTGCCATATCCAGAGCCCGATCTACCCAATCAATCTTAGCCAACTATGTGTAATTGCTCTGTTTATGAAAGATGAGACAAAGGTCCGACGGACATGTCACACCGAGGTCCAACCAAATGCTATATTGCCTAGGGCAGAATACCTTACTGCGGGACGCTGGGTATTGACAACCAATAAAAGGTTGGATCTTGTAGTGGTATGTGATACGGATAACAAGTTTTCATATACCATAATGGTCTTACCTCCGTTAGCAATAGTTAAACTGAACGCATCATGTTCAGCATCTAATGATCATTTGACTTTACTTCCTTATTATCATAATGAAAGCCAGTACGAGTTGGAAGATAATTTTCTGAAGTTAGTCCATACCCCGAATGTTTCAAACATGTTGCTCTGGAAACCTTACATGAAAACTGCTATAAAACTGTACTTGACTAAGTTACCTGATAAACTCAAGAGTATCGAGAATATCCCCATGAATCATCTTATAGATCAGCTTAATGATTTACAGGCCATGGTACCAGATAAGGAGACCTCAGATTGGAAATATTTCTTGGGAATAACCTTAACTGTAGTGGGAATTCTGGTGGGGATTTTCTTGTATGTAAGATTTATTAGACCCTGGCTGGCCAAGCGAGGAATGAGTAAGAGGAATGTCTTGGCTACAACCGAGTTTGAGATGGCGCCAGTTGACACTGGGAGCGCAGGTCGCGCCTACAGAGGAAACCTACCCTCTGCGCCACTCTTGACACAAAGGGACTCCGATCCAGCAGAAGAAGTTCGACCAACTCCCGCCATACGGAGCATCTACCCGACGCTGGATGCGGGTACCCGAGGGCATCGTGAGTTCGACTAACGCACGTTGACAGGAGTACGGACAGCAGAGAACTACATGAAGTGTTGTCGTCGCATATGGTCAGAGCACCATACTACAGCACTTTACAAGTTGACTGTGGAAAAGAAAAGAAATATACACAACGCAGGAAAGACGATCTAACATTGTGCAGGTGTTTTGCACTTCAGTTCTTTGTGTGCAAAGATGAACTGTATCCTGTTTTCAGCACATGTTGTATTTTGTGAACTTATATATGTATGCATATTCACTATGTTCTAATTGACAACGGTTTGTTGTGGATTGTACATATATTTTGAGGTATTCGTGTATCTATGGATGGTCATAATTATTTTAAGAAATTTTACGCTGAAAATTTCTCAATAAGAAAATGGCGAATGTAACACTATCCAGTATGGCCAGAGGCTGTGTAGACAGGTGGGCTTATTGTGACCATCGAAGGAAAACAGTTACTGATCCATGGTAATATTAAAGAAGACACCCTCTGTGCGTTCTGGTATTTAATGACCCCCCTAAAGATTTGAGGGTCACTAATGGCTCATTTGCGACAAGCAGTAATAACGGTTGATTAAGCTGGAGTCTTGTTGTGAAACTCTGAGAACTTGATGGCCCATTATGCTGCGACAGGGTCTCAGCTAATCAGCTGAGAAAACCCTTATATATACAGCATCGTCAGTACAGACGGCAGAGAGGCAGAGAAGGGCGCTGTACACTGACCAGGACCAGACCGACAGAGCAGTCCAGACGAACGGCATAACAACACGAACTAACGGCCAGCAGCTAACAGCCAAGTCAACGCTCAGAAGGCCAGCACACTGGGACAAGCTCTAGTCGAACTTGGTCACGCCCGAAACAGCCCATAGCCTCTCTCACAGTCTCTGCCACGCCCTTGTGAAGTGTTCGTAGTACTAGCGTATGCAATTAGTCCATGTTATTATTAAAACCTGTTGAAACTGAAGACCGAGTTTGTCTGTTGTGCTACAATGGTTACAGCAGTCCGTGTTGCTCATCGCTGTTGGTCACCTTGTATGGGATTTGCGCTGCAGGTGCAAAAAACGCCAATCAAGACGAAACGACTGCGTTCCTGCAACGTGCTCAAAATGAATGATGTAAATATTGAAGTGTTTCTTCAATGCGTTCGTGTTCGTTTCTTTTCACAAATAACTATTTTGTCCATTTCACAAACAAAAAACTTGACTTGCAATTGTTTTGCAGTATTATGAGCAATGATCCATGACATCTGGGTACTATGACACAGTTGACACTCTCTCAGGATGCTTACCGTAACATTATGTTGACAAAACACTGACAGTGAAATATCAATACGAAATTAATTTATCCACCCATGATTGAGGTATTGTCAAGCTCTTTCATCTGAAGGTGATCTGACCTCCATGTCCCACTATCTGTTGTTATGTGAGGTGAGATGAAATGGTGTCTGGATTAATGCAGATGTAAAGTGCTAGATCACTGAGATACCATGCCGCAGTTTAACATCAATACCCCAATCAGACACAGTATACTGACTCCGAGCCAACCATCCATTGTTTTAGCCTCTTAATGCTGAGCACCAGGCAGGGAAACAACAAGTATCATCTTTTAGTGTCTTTTGGAATGACACGGCTGGAGATCGAACCCCGACCTTCAGCTCTCTGGACACGCTCTACCACTAGAGCTATTATGTAGTATATCCTTTTCACAAATGTTCTGATTCCAAATCATAACATGCTACTATGAGGTAAGAAATTTATTCATGCATAATGTACAACAGCAAGTTTTGAAAACAACAATGTGATGATGATGAGATTGTGGATCAAGTGTTATTCATCTGTCCAGGGAGTGTTTGAGTGACCGCTGCATGCCAGAAGGGGCCAGGTCTAGAGGAGTCTTCTTGTCCTGAAACATGGATCAAATATTCAACAACAAACACATGGAGTTGTCATGGCAATAAAAACAAAATAAATATTTGTTTCTAGTAAAGTTGTGCAGTGAGTGATTTGATATAAATGGCACTTCTTTTTAGGACATCTATCAGATTACAGCAGTCAGTTTAATGTGGGAGGAAAGAATAAAAAGTCTTAGGTGCTCAATCCATTTCAGAATCCAGCAAGCATTGACTGTTGGTAAGCAATTGACACTTGTATGCTTCAAAGTAGCTGATCCTGCCAGGGGACACAACTCTGCACAGCTGTTACCACAAAATGTCTGCGCGCTTCATTTTATTGATATTGGCAGGCTCCTCTTATGAACTGAGTATTGCAAAGCACACTGATAATGTGCTACATCGATACGACTTACCATACTGTATAGATTAAACCTTACTATCACACACCATCAAACAACTCAAGTATAGCAATCCTCATCTTCCCGAGGCAAAGGAGTTAACTGACTATAAAAGTCCAGTTTCCGCCCTTGCCGAAGTAGGCTGGTATTATGGAGTTACGTTTTGTCTGGACTAACGAGTCTGTGCATAGCCCAATCAATATCGTGCACCGAAATCAAAATCCGGTTCGTAAACTGTCGTGCAGATTTCGATCGATTGCAGGATTTGCAAAGCATGTGCATCGCCAAATCATTGTCAGCAGATATTTTCCAAATCCTTTCATGTGTTTAATCAAGGTGCTCATGTGATTTGATGCATGTCGCGATGTAAGACCCGTTTTATCACAATATAGATCTTGATTATCGATCAGATCGTCCTGACTGGGCGCCACCATTTTGTGTGAAACAAACGCAAGTGATACGAGATCTGGAATCTGATTGGTTCATAGGAGAGGCTTAGAAGGGACATAATTGGTAATAGCCACTGGTGGCGCAACGATCAAGCCCAGTAATTCTAGCCTAGTTTTGCAAGGGTGGAAACTGGACTTTTAAAGTCAGTTAACTCCCTTGCCTCGGGAAGATGAACAACCCTAGATGTAATTTTCATATGTAATCTAAACAAAAAAATTATACATCAACTACATCTACAGGTATGTTAACAAATAAACCAGTAACCTGTCCTGACTTATGCCGGCTTTATAGTGCTAGCCCTCTGAGATACCATACCACAGTATAACATGGATACCCCACTCAGTATGCTCAGACACAGCATACTGAGCTGACCAGTCCTTGTTTTATCCCCTTATTGCCAAGAGCCAGGCAGAGGAACAAGTACCATCTTTTAACGTCTTTTCATATGACACGACCAGGGGGATCGAACCACAGACCTTTCGCTCTCCAGCCAGACACTCTATCCACTACACCAAAGAGGCAGTTTTCACAGTTTATAGGCCTGATCATAATTAGCAGTGAGTGAGTAACTGATGCATAACAGCCCAGTGAGCAATATTCCAGCTATGTCATGATCTGTAAACCAGTGACTGAAGGCAAGAGTCCATCAGGGTAGTACATGAATGTAACTTAACCTTCAACATCTACCAGCCCTCATAGTGATGACAAAAGGACAGCCCCTAAAACACCTGAAATTCTACTCACTGTCAGGATACCCTTTACATAAGATAAACTGACACAGACAATAACAAATGTTATTTTTGGGTTAACACTATCTCAGTAAGATACAAGTTCTAGTACTTTTGGCGTTGAGTCCCATCCGGGATTCGGACCCACACTGCCAGAGTGAGGCACCTAATTGCGAGCACACAAAGTAAACGATCTAACCTACTCAGCCACTGAGACTTACACACAAAAAGAAAGTAGGACAACTGGTAGTCCAGATCATGTACTTTGTGTCCCCCTCTGACAAGAGTAAATTGGCACAGCTCCCATGTCCGAAGGCTAAGAACACACAATGCCATTTAAAAATTGTAAAAGTACAAGAATTTGTACTTTACTTGGAAAGTGTTATCCCAAATATAACATTTATTACATTTTGCCACTTTCTAAATAACATTGTGTATTTATGACAGGGACTAGTTGGCTGGTCCTGGGTGGAAGGACACACAATCCGTCAAGTCACATCACTTGACCACCTGATCCATTACAAATGACTTTTACAACAAGCAGCAAGAGGTATGCAGACTTAGCCAGCCCTGAATCTCCATAGGCGATGCGTGGTTGGCTGTCATAAAGATGGCTGACCCGCTCACCTTGTTCTGTATGTCCAGCCTGGCTCCATGCTCCACCAGGAGCTTCCCAGGCCGCACCCTTTCCTCCTCACAGGCAAGATGACTGCAACAGCCAACACAAGATTATTCCTATTCTACCAGCCTATACACATGACATACAGTCCTAGCACTGCTAAGGTAAACAGACATGAGATACTTGGATTCAAACATTGAGTTTTATTCCAATGCACTAAAAACTATAAAAGAAAAAAAATATATATATATTTTTTAAATTTTATATATATATATATATTGGTCAGTGAAAGTTTTATGGAACTTTAAAGTTGCATAACCAAAAGAAGAAGGCAAAACGAAGCATGTTTTGAATATATCATGTACATGGACTTCCTTAGGTGAGGTGAGGTGAAATGGGCTTTGACATTGTGTGCAGTGTGCGAGTATGTACATGGCTGCTCGTACTAGTCGGAATATTGCCACACTCCAGGCAGAAGCTCTATCCACTAAACCTTTGAGGCAGAAACTTCCTTCAGAACATCCACACAAACTGCACACAGGACCTTTGGGCCAGGTGAGCTAACACCTACTCACAGCGGAGTGTTTCCCTCCGAGTCAGATCTGTTGGGTTCCGCCTCATGCTGCAGGAGCAGCTTTGTCATCTGGAGATGTCCTTTAGATGCGGCTCTGTGCAGCGGGGTGCTGCCCATCTTGTCCCCCACATTGACGTCAGCTCCATGGTTTAACAGAAGTTCTGCTATCTAAAAGAGGTGACAGTATGCATTACCATGTATCACATTGCTATATCATTATCACAAAAAAGAAACAGCAGTGGGCAAAATGAGACTTCACGATATCTGAAGCTTTAAATAGTATACATACAAAGAGAATTTCCAGCCATACACAAAGTCTGACATGACTTTCAGATCTAAGAAGCACCTTGAACATTACACATTTTGTTGTGATTGCATGAAATTTTAATTTTATTTTTTTAAATTTAGCGTAACTATCTACCGAGGTGATTATTTCCAGATGTTACACCACTGAGACGATACACATACAGATGCACTGTTAGTCCTGCTTTCCAAGAACTTGTTCCGCAAAGTAATCTTAGTGCTAAGTTGGTCGTAACTCCCATACTTTATCATTGGATTACAATCAACGTAGCACTAAGATCGCTTTGTGGAACAGGACCCAGGCTGTTACTGGACAGAACATCTCCAAACATACAAAGGGACATTACTCTGTAATCATGATTCATTTATCAAGACATTTCTCACTCTTCATGGTTTCAGTTCAATTTGAACTTTTGGCAGCATCAGCAGTGACAGTGAGTCAACCATGTACATGAACATCAGACTGAGAAATATCTTAACAAGGGTATTTAATCCTAGCACAGAGCTAAAGGAAATTAAGTCAGTGATTTTAGTAAAAGGGATTTCAAATTCTTTAATATTTTTGGAACACTGAAGCCAGTGCAGTACCTCCATATGATCCTTTGATGCTGCATAATGCATCATGCTCTGCCCTGTTCTGTTGACTGCATTCACTAGGGCACCTCTGCTGATGAGGTTAGCCACTATCTCCATTCTGCCAGCCGAAACAGCTATCATCAAAGGTGTCCAATCTGACTGCACACAATAATAAAACAATAGATACTGTCAAGATGAAAATATAGATCAAATACTACTATTCCAAATGTTTCATTAAGTTATACAAATTATGATGGTTTTGTATGTTTTATCAATGAAAGTAACATCCAATGTAATATTAAATTCAGAGTTAAAAATTGGCACTAGTCCTATAGTCCTTGCCAATCTGCCCATTAGTAAAGGCATCATAAGGGCTAGTAGAAATTTGCTAATTTATAAGTGTTTTGCTGTATGTTATCATTATAAGGACTAGTGGACCAAAGATGTTAAATTATTTCATCATTTAATATCTTGTAAGCAATATCACCATAGGCCTTATTATTCCTTAAGAAATATGCAGCTTTAATTTCACAGCAAGATAGAAACATATTAAAAGTTATTATTTGTGTTTTAATGCACTGTTACTCACCTCATCTCTTGCATCAACTGGAGCACCAATTCTCAACAGGTAGTCTGCTACCTCTGTATGTCCACCTGACGCAGCCCAGTGGAGGGGCATTCTCTGGCTCTATTGCAAACATAAAATAGTTCTTTACAAATAAATCAGTATCATAAAACAACTAACACATCTACCATGTACAGAACTGGAACATATTAACAATCTCACTAAAATCAGATCTTAGTTCTCACTACCACTACACAAAGTGTATTGGTAGCGAGCACTAAGATCTGATTTGATGAGATTGACATATAAATGACACAGGTTCACTTGACAGAATGTGTCCCAAACCATGATACTGTTACTCAACCCCTGCAGTAGGGCTGGGACGAGTCTAAAATTAATACATGGGTACCCGACCCCCTATTAACCAACCCTATCTGGATACCTGCTGTACGTCTAAAGAGTTTTGGTAAAAAATGTCTGATTAGGAATTGTTTTACCAGACCCCTGGTATAAGGTATTTAGATCATGTATAAAATGACCTGGTCATGCATACGTTGAAGTTGACCAAGCATCATCTTTACTCAAAACATATAAAAGTCAAACAGATATGCAAACATTAGTGACTTGTAGGTCGCCATGGAGTTATAGTAGTGAGTTTTTCTCATTGAACAATATATCATGTTACTAACCATGGGTCCGATTAGTCCTGTTGGTACAAGGGTCCTACTCAGGACCCACCCGACCCGAGTCCCCGAGTTACCCGTCCCAGCCCTAGCCTGCATTGTAGTGTATTATGTGTTTACAGATTTGTAGATGTTATTAAGTATTCAATACCCGGAAATTTCATTTGGAACTGACAGTGTTAATCTGAGGTTTCAAATTTCAAAATTTTCGGGCATAGAAAGCTTAATAACACTGGACAGAAAACAAGATTGTCAGGTTTTAGTAATTAATATACTGTAACTAAACATCTTAATGAGGGAGCCATTGCAGTAAAGATTGTTTTCACATGAAACCTCATTATGCTACCAATAAGACAAATATGGTGTCCTGACTATGTCATCCTATCCATCATGATAGTCTTTGCTTGAAGGGTTCAAATGATTGTGTGATGTTATGAGATGAACTCTACAAGTTAGTTAACTCATGTCCTGCGACATACCCTAGGGCCGTCCAGTGACAGGAATCTACATCCTGGAATATATATTGTCGGATACATTAATGGAGTCGACTGTAATCAGATTTTCTATGTGAAAAGAGCTGAAGTCTATTCTTGAACTTGAGTTTAAATAGTTTAATTACCATAATGTTAAAAATACATACTAGTGTTGAATACTAAGCTGAGCTTTGGAAATAATGGATGTAGACTAATCCACACCATCTAGACTGTACATGATGGAACATGAAAAAATTATCTGTTTGTGTGTGACAATCAGATATACACAATGAAAACATATTTCATTTATACACTGTGAGTGAGTGAGTTGGGTTTAACGCCACTTTGAACAGTTGGTGGAAAGTCTGAAATGATGCAGGTCTCAGACGTTAAACACTTTGGTGAAACCCATGAGCATGGGTATGTGGCTGACAAACCTGGAAACATAATCGGGGTGAACCGGCATTCGAACCCATGGTCATAGGTTTCTGGCGTGTCTAAGGGATGCAACTCTGCACAGAGAATTGCGACACCTTAGACTACTGGGCCACCCGTGCCCCCTTATCACTGTGAATATAGTAAGATTTAGTGTTTGTTATGGCCAAGACAGCTGATGTATTGCCAGCTCTAGACTGCAATGAGTGAGTCCTCCTTATAGTATACTGCACGCTTACACATTCCAAATAGCACCCTCTGAGACTGTGTTTTTCGGATCGAATCTGCCTTGCTTATGTTGATGCCTTAGGTCTGAGGTTGCCATCTATTTTGACGATGAAACGACTAGGCCAAGATAATTCAATTTCGCTGCGTCACTGAACTCACACTCATTTCTTCAGTTTCCCTTCATACCGCGAGTAAATGGCATGATAAAAATAACCATATACTTACTGCGTCATACTGGGAGCACAAGCTCTCATTTTTTTGCAGTTTTTGTTTCAGTAACTGAAAATTCCCATCATAAGCAAGTTTGCACACTTCGTCTTGCAATGTTTTGGTCTCCATGCTTTAGAATGAACCCTCAAAATAATGTGACCCGCGTCATGAGGATTATTTCACAACAATTTACACAAAAGGTATGGCAATGTTAATAATGGAATATATGTGGAGAAAATGTTGTGATTAATATCATAAGAATATAATTATCTTTCATGTTCGAATGAAATAACCAGCGTAGCGAAATAAAGTGATCACTATGATAGGGTCAACAAATACCATAAACACCGCCAGCGTTTAACCGATACAAGCCGAACGTTGACTCGCATCATTCCGTGACGTGTAGCCTAGACTGAGCGCCTGTCTACGCAAAAGAATAAACGCTCTGTTTGCCGCGCGAAGCAATCCTGGAACCAGATCGCCGTTCGGCTCTTAAGCTGGGCCCCGTCTCTCATATCGCAAGTTGACGACGCGCATAGGCAGACTGGTTTCCTGATCCTCCGCTAGGGGTCGTTGCTCTGCCTTCCAATGGGAAGGATCGGTACCCCCTAAGCTGGTTCCCGGCTCCCTATGCGCGTGATATTGGAGACGGGGCACAGCTTACGGTACCCCCCACCATAAACATCGTCTGCTGAAACAAGATGGCAGCTGACAAAACCCATGGGACGAGGCTAGTGAGCCTTGCAAAATTGTAATTTTTGCTGTAATAGAGGTGAGTATTGGCACCAACATAACGAATATGTGATGACAATGTTTTTTTCTGACTAAATTCGTTCAAATGTTGACACGGCAGTGTTTCTGTTTTAAATGGAGGACGACGAATCTCTTATGTATTTACCTTCTAAGCCGATTACCATGCAGTTCTCACGCAAGAAAATATAAGTTTCTGAGAAATTCTGTATGAAATTGCCGTGTTTCCAACTATAAGTTGCATGGACTATTACATGTGAGCTTATATTTATAATTCATATGGTTGTGTCATTGTGTCTGCTAGTACGGAAATGTCCTTTCTAGGCTACAGTACAACATGACAGAGCCAAAATGTGGATGAAAACACATGAAACTGAATTTTGACCAAACAAAAATCTATTAGGTTTTTAAAAATTGTTTTGATGAATCCCAAATCAAAGAAATTCAAGGCAATGAAAGGACGGGTAAATTTTTAGCTGCAAATACTTTATCGTGACAACAAATTTCGAAACGAGAATCGGATGAATTTGGCTATGTAGGCCTATATGGTCAGTAGAATAGGTCTGCAGCAACCCATGCTTGCCGTAAAAGGCGGCTATGCTTGTAGTAAGAGGAGACTAACGGGATCGGGTGGTCAGACTCGCTGACTTGGTCGATGCATGTCATCGTATCCCGATTGCTTGGATCGATGCTCATGATGTCAATCACTGGATTGTCTGGTCCAGACTCGATTATTTCCAGGCCGCTGTCATATAACTTGGATATTGCTGAGTGCGGCATTAAACACCAAGAAAACAAACAAACAGCAAACAGATATTTGCCATGTACCCTAATTTCGTGGGTATACAACTATATTCCTGAACAAACTAAGGGACCGACCATTTGATATTGGGGGTCGGGGCGGGTATAGGATTTTTTTTATTAAAAATACATGTATGAAATAAAATTCCAGCGTGTCCCCATATTTACACGGTCACACATGACTTTTTTCCCCTTTGAAAATTTCTTAAGTCGACAGGGTGTGTACAAGATTTACTGATAGCGCGATAATATAGAGCCCGTGATAATATATAGGGTGTTGGTAGATCTGACTTATTCTTACATCAGTTTAGGCAAAGGAGCGTAGACATTGAAAATCAAGTGTTGCACAATAATTGTGAATCTTGTTCTAAGCTTGAATTGTTCTCTGCAGTAAGGGATAAATTTTCATATAATAACTGGATTCGATTAATTGATGTAACATTATTTCGAATTAATATCTTGAATTTTCTTGGATCCAATCATCGTCTTATGGTTGAAACAGGCAGATACCATAATATACCAAGACATGAACGTTTCTGTCCCCTCTGTGTTGTAAGTGCTATCGAAGATGAGTTCCACTTTTGTATGGTGTGTCCGTTCTATCTTGATCTGCGGTCTAATCTCATACCCAATTATTATCACATGTTTCCAAGTCGTGAGAAAATGTCCTTATTATTCAGCTCGACTAATCAAAGTATTTGCAACAATTTAGCAAAATATGTATTTCTTGCTGGTATGAAACGTAATTCCATTTTCAAGGGAATACCTGTGTCATATAATTAACTCCAATAGTAACAGTTTGAATACTGCATTGTAAATCTTATAATTCAGCGCTCTGTCATATTTGTATGCCATCATACTCTGCACGTGTATAATGGGCCGGTGGTCTCATTACCTGAATAAAAGCATCAACTAACGTATAGAGTCATACTATAGTAAAATATATTATTCTATCATATGATCTGACTTTTTAAATGTGTCGACCATCGGATGATCAGGTAACCATTGCTAGACACTATAAAGGATCAGCTGCCTTTGTGAATATAGTACAAATTAAGCTGTCACAAATTTCAGTGAAAGGTTCTAAAGGTTAATACAATGACAGATATAATAAATATCAACATTTGTTTGTTTGGTGCTTAATGCAATGTTCAGAAATATCACAGCTATATGACCATGGTCAGTAAATAATCAAGTCTGGACAAGATAATCCAGCGATTGATGTGATGAGCAACAATCCACACAATTGGGATGAGATGGCATGCTGACAACCAAATCTCAGAGTCTGACCACCCTATCCACTTTTTTTATTTATTTGTTTAAAAAATATTTTTATTTCACTTCAGTAGACATATATCTATAACATAGGAACATGAGGTATATAAGTGTAGCAATTCATAATATCTTAAAACATGATCAAGATATGGGTAATATACATATGTTGGATTGAAATATTTTTCATTGCAATAATTGTTTCTATTTTACATACGTCTTTCAATATTTTTATGAAGAAAGGAAAGTATGATGTTTTCTTAATGCTTGGAGTATGGAGTTTTCTTAATGCTTGACTGGTGAATGTATTTTTTGCAAGAAAATTATATGGTTGAAAAAAGATTTCTCTTTGTTGTAGCAAAATAATTTATCTCATCAGGTCACCACATCCACATCCACCACATCATCACTAACCATGGCCAGGTGCCTCAGAGTCCCATATCGGAAACTGTTCATGTTAGTTGTTTTGTTATACGGGTTACTTTTGGGAGCATTGCTTTTTGCATGGAAGTCATATGGGACCGTCCCCCTGCGGGATTTTCTAATCGACGGCCACGCTGTTGTCAAGGTTGGCAACCTTGTCCAGAAAGTCAGGGTGGCTGTGCAATCAGGAATAATTAACATAGCGCAACCTGAAGTTCAGAGAGAATGTGATATTAAACACAAAGTATCGTTCATGAATCGGACAATTATCATAAATCAGGACCCGGTTTGCGGCTGGTTGAAAGCTGCTAGGATTGAGAGCCAGGGTCAGTTTGTGAATTTCGGCAGTCTGTTTGCCCGACTTCATAATGTGATCATTGACCCTTCGTTAGGCGTTGGTAGAAAAGGAGGAGAATCCATCTCCTCTGTCCTCAACCAACGAGAAGAGGAGGAGTATCTGAACTTGAAGAAAGGGTACTTCAGTTTAAACTGCGACACGCCTCCAGGTTTAGGATTCGGTGGCAGAGATCACCTTCTGAATTGGAACAATGTCGTAAGCTGTAAAAAAGACAGGACAGAGACAAAGCGAGTGAAAGGAATGACTTTAGCTGTGATGAGATACGAATATGTCAATCTTTATCACACAATGACTGATTTTTATAACGCTTTCTTGATGATGTTGGTGTTTGATCAGCACCCGGATAATATGACAGTGCTGTGGGTAGATGCCCACCCTCAAGGCGGCCTAGACGAAACATGGAATGTGCTGTTTGGGGAGACTAAGAGGGCAGGGCTTTTAGAGGCACCCACGCAGTTTGATGATATGGTGTGGGGTATTATGGGTTACAACAGTCCCTTGAACTTTCATTACACACCATTTGTGCCGTACCTGGGACTGTTTCGAGAATTCTTCCTTTCTCGACACAAGGTCAAAACCAGTAAGCAGTTAAACTGCCATAAACTGAACGTCATGTTCATTTGGAGAAGGGATTATGTTGCGCATCCGCGAAATCCAAAAGGCTTATTAAAAAGGAAAATTACAAACGAGGATGAGATCATTGCAAACTTGAACACCATCCTCCCAGGTCACAAGGTCACGGGTGTGCAACTTGATATGCTGCCCATGAAACAACAACTGGAGCTTATTTCAAACACTGATATTCTACTAGGTATGCACGGTGCTGGCATGTCACACACGCTCTTCCTTCCCAAACATGCCGGTGTTCTGGAGTTTTACCCAATATACTGGAGCCAGGCTAATCAGCATTTCCGGGCAATGGCGTCGTGGCGTGGACTTCCGTATCAAACATGGCAGAACTATGATGGCCCACACGAGAAGGAGAATTACTTCACTTATATTCCCCCTAAAACTGTTAATCAAATGTTATTGGAGGTCAAAGGCCAAATCTGTCCCCCCAGTAGCAGGTGATTTTTGGTTGTTCGTTAAATTGTTCGGCTGTTAAGATAAATATGTGTTCTTTATTTGGGATATTGTTTTTTTGGTTTTGTTAGGTGTGGATTGATTCTTTTTAGCAATATTCCAGCAATATAACGGAGGTGGACACCGGAAACTGGCTTGTTACCACGTGTTAAATCAAATCCGATAGTGACGCGCGAACGCTCAACCGCTTTGGCCACTAAACTTCCGCACACCCACTTTAAAGGCTCAGAAAATAACATATTTAATGTTGTCTAACTTTGTGTTATCTATAACGAATTAGAGTGATGATTTATTTTTCAAATATTTTCCATAAAAGAATGTTTTGTCAATAAACAAGGTATGACAAGTGTCGTCTTGGCCAATATGACCTGCACAATTTAGGCAATGGGGAAAACCTTTGCGATTATAATAAAAGTTATCTGTTCATATGAATGAGAATTTCAACGATTGCATGTTAGGGATTATAACACCACTAAATGATCACGGAAGGCAAAACAGGTGTCACAAAAGCTATTTTTAGAAGTGTTCATGATCACACACTTTTTCTAATATTTGGACATGGGCAAGTTTTTGACACAAACTAATGTTTTGAAAGGGATCTAGATAAAGATGTGCAAATTCATCTTCTCATGAAGCCTCATGGTCTTCAGCAACCCATGCTTGGCGAGTTAGGGGATCGGGTGGTCAAGCTTGCTGACTTGGTTGAGGTATGTCATCGTATCCCAATTGCGAAGATCGATGCGCATGATGTCAATCACTGGATTATCTGGTCCAGACTCGATTACTTACAGACCGCCGTCACATAGCCGGAATATTGCTGAGTGTGGCGTTGAACAAGCAACAAACATGGAGTTTTCAACCATTTTCAACCAAACTAATGTATATAATCATGTCCGACGTCCAAAACTTGTATGTGTAAGAAAGTAGAAAGGCAAGATGTCAGTCATTTGAACACATTATATTGAGCCGCTGAATATTTTCATACCAATTTATTTCACAACTTTATAATTTAACATTTCTAGTGGCCCATAAAGGGCCCTGATCTTATTTAATCCTTTCAAAAATGGGAATGTATTTTTAGTTAATGGAATTCCTTAGCAGTTTGAGGTGACGGTAGTTCCATGACGGATACAGCGAGGAATCAAAGGCTAACTGTCGATGTGAGAGTCCAGGGTTAGAAACTAACAGTTTTTGTCCACTAGTCCTTATAATGATAACATATAGCAAAACCCTCAAAAAGGGCAAATTTCTACTAGTCCTTATGATACCTTTACCATTGGGCAATTTGGCAAGGGCTATAGGACTAATGCCAATTTCTAACCCTGGAGACTGTCCGAGGTGTAATCACCCACTTGTTTAACATCTGAACAAGAGGAAGAGCAACTGTCGCGCAAATGCCTTCAATCAATTTTAGAAGTTTTCATGATCACTCACTTTTTTTTATATTTGGACATGGGCAAGTTTTCGACACAAACTAATGTTTTGAAAGGGATCTACCTAAAGCCGTACAAATTCATCACTATCATTCGTGAGGATCCGCGTTAGAGCTTGTCTTCAGCAACCCATGCTTGTCGTAAGAGGCGATTAAGGCGATCGGATTGGCAGGCTCGGTGAATCCTATCCCACCTTCGTACATCGATGCGCATGTTAATCACTGGATTATCTGGTCGAGACTCGATTACTTACAGACCGCCGTCACATAGCCGGAATATTGCCGAGTGTGGCGTTAAACAACAAACCACCATATATGGTTGTTCGTGAAATCGGCTTTTTTCAACCAAACCTATGTATTTGATTATGTCAGACGTCCAGAACTTGTATGTGTAAGAAAGTAGAAAGGCAAGATGTCAGTCATTTGAACACATAATATTGAACAGCTGATAATTTTCATACCAGTTTTAATTTCTTAACTTCATAATTTAACATATCGGGTTGTTTTTATCTCATCCTTTCAAAAGTTGGAATGTATTTTAAGTTGGAAAACATACATGTTTTCATATGCTCTTCCTAGCGGAATTCCCGAGCAGTTTGAGGTGACGGTAGTTCAATGACGGATTCAGTGAGGAATCAAAGCCTTACTGTCGATGTGAGACTGTCCGACGTGGAATCTCCCACCCGTATAACATCTGAACAAGAGTAAGAGCAACTGTCGCGCAAATGCCTTCAATTACATTGATTGTAACATAACTGATATATACTACTCAATATAACTTAAAGAACGTCCGATTCTTTCATGTTACTATAGTTAATCTGTCATATTACAACAGTTAATCTGCCATGAATCGGGTGTCCTATTACTTCTTTTAAGTAGTAAATGTTAATGTAACAGTTTCATCAACGTTTCCCAATGTTCATAGAGCGGGCACGGATGACCGGATAACAAAGGCGTTGAGTTGCTTCCCGAGAACAGGAAACATTTGACTATCGCTAGAGCAGAGTGAGCCATGCCCTCGACAATCAAAGGATAATTTGTCATCCACGTATATGTTTTCCCACTCTGTATACTTCTTTTAACGCGTCATGTTACATTTCGGGAGCTATTGATGTTTTCATCACCACGTCGGCCATCCCGCCGTGTAGCAATAATTATAGACACACATTAAATAGTATTCAGTTACTTTTATTTTTTTTCGTGAATCCGCGATTTCCACATCAACAATAATTCGATCCACAAGCAAATACACACTCAAACTTGCAAGGTGTATAATTTAGCTAACCCGTCATGAGAGAGACTTTCTCATTGAATTTAAATGTTAACACATGCCTTTCTGTAAGCTCGCGATGTTCAGGTATTTCGATGTGCGTTCTTTGGTGGATGATAGGCATACAATAAAATTAAGGGACCACTCACATGGGACGTACCATTTCAAGTCACTAAAACGCAGAACGTATTCTGATCTGATTTGTTTATCAGTCAGTTCGTGTCAGACACCCGGCCATGGCACCAGCTTTATTTGTGTTATTAAAGGAGGGCATATCGAAGTTCTAGTGAAATTTCACTCTTTTAAATGTAGCATGTTTACAACTTTACATTTGCTGATGCCTTTCCAATGATTTATAATAGCGGATACACGTGAAACCTTGACGATTGTATTAACTATCATACATCAACATACTGCGATCCAGGTAGTATATCTACACATACCAGTCAGTGTGTCCATATTATCCTCACGTTATTCGTAACAAGTGTAAACTTGGGGGCATTTACCTTAATTCTCGATGAGTAATATGAATGAGTTTCTGTTTGGCTTCCCTTGTGTTGTATGCAACTCTGGGGAATGTCTGTTGACAATGCATCTGGCAGTGGTGGAAAATGTGCTTCTTTATTTTTGTTATCAAAAGCATTCTTATGACCAAAAATAGTGCCACGGCAGTAAAGATCATCTGGATATGTAGTCAACAGCTTTTATCATACTTCTATGTCAGAATTGTGATATCTGATTGGTCCATATGATCTTGATAAAATACGATGTGTCCCGCCTTGGAGGGGAATACATTTCTCAGCCAGCGAATAAATTCCTTATACCCCGCCACGAGCAAGTCAGGCTGCACGTTGATTTCTGAGGCAAAATACATCCCTGAAACCCCGCTTTAAAACAAAAAGCCGCACGCTTTCTCCGAATCAACGGAAGTCACTTACATAACTCAAGTTAACCTCAGCTCAATCGAAACTGCTGTATTCTATCAATTTTGAATTTGTTTGAATTCTGTTACAATGTCATACTAAAACATGTCGGTAAGATAAATTCGTAGTAGCAGGGTGCGTCCGTCGTTAGGTTTTATACCACTAGCCTTTTAGTATACTTCGTGGCTTCGTTCCCGAGATGAATGTTGACTAAAAAAATGTTTGGCTGTGTTTGGGCGATTGTTTCATGAAACGGAAACGTGCCTGAATTTGGCAGGCTTTCGATGCATTGCCATTGGATGTGCAACAGTTGTGAACCCCAATACAACACACTGCATATACTTGACATGAAGCTTGTGAAACCACTGCAAATATGGGAAGAAAAGTTTGGCGCATTGGAATCTTTTCACTGACCGTTTAGTGACTATGCGTCCCGTGAAGAACCGGGGTAGAATAGGTCTTCAGCATCCCATGCTTGCCGTAAAAGGCGACTTTGCTTGTCGTACGAGGCGACTAGCGGGATCGGCTGGTCAGGCTCGCTGACTTGGTTGATGCATGTCATCGTATCCCAATTGTGTGGATGGATGCTCATGATGTCAATCACTGGATTGTCTGGTCCTGACTCGATTATTTACAGACCGCCGTCATATACATGTAGCTGGAATATTGCAACAAACGAACAAACAAGGTAACTATGCCGGGAAGATAACCATTAAGATAGTTGGACACAGGTTGTGCGATTGGGTAGCTGCAGGATGGAATAGCCATTACAGAAGTTGCAAGACGCCTCCAAAACTCCCCGTCTCTAATTTGGATCTGGATCTGGTGCTTAACTCCAAGATGACACTGCTAGACCCCACCGGTATAGTGTTGTTATAAACCTAAAAAAACCAAATGGGATTGTCAGGATGCAGCGGTCAGCTTACTCCCCGGATCTGGCACCAATACAGTTGTAGAGCATCCTTAGGACGTCCTTGGTCGAGGGTTTCGTACTTATCGTCCACCTGCTGTAAATCATCAACAGCTCATTCATTTTCCCCAAGGCGAGAAGCAACTCGTCCATCAGGCAGCTCCAAAAGAGACTTGTAAGTCTGAATGACTTGTACAGAATGCATCCAACGTAGAGGAGACCATAGGCATTACTGACATTTTGTTCCCGTTCCACTTGGTGAATCGACCCTTGTCATTTCAAATCCATTATCCAGCTACTGTGGGTATCGGTAATAAGCATGATTTCATAACGGTTCCATAAATGAATAAAGCTCTATTTAATAAATGATTGCTCACACTCATGTTGTTATCGGCTGCCGACTGCCTATGCTGGCTGTTCCTGTACCTACTTGAATGAGAATATGTTATCAGAAGGAGAAACATACATACAAGTTCAGGTCAGAGTTTCAGAGAAGTTTACAGTGCCAGAT